AGTGGGTGTGGCTTATATTCAGGTGCACTCAATAGTCCGGAAATTACAGTAAATCAAAAGAGAAGAATGCGATGGTTCGCAAAGTTTTTGTAAAGATAAGTTTTAAGAATAAGAATGGAGCATTGTGCAACTAATTAAGTTAATTGTCAACAGATCAGTTTGACTGGATTAAAAAACAAAAGCATCTTTGAGAAGCTGAAGTAAAAATGGGCAGAGGTTCACCAGTCAGTGAAAAACAGTCTAAATATAAGATAATCCAGTCACTTTGGACTCACTTACATATTTGATATGTTTTATTGTTCTAATCCGATCACAAACAAAACACTTAAATTTTTTTTTTCAGATCTGTGAAGTTATAAATAAAACAAAAATAGACCGTTTGTTGCTCTGTAAACAAAAACAACAAATAAGCGTAATAAACCCAGCATTCATTACCAGGTCATCTAAAAAGCATAAAAAACACATTTTTAATGCCTTTTTTAAAATGAATAAATTGACTAAATATAAATTTCGTTTTTACAAATTCCAAAATGTGTCTGCACTTTACTTCCACAGCATGTATTAATAATTTATCGACAAGCCAAGCCACAAGCGCTCACAGCTCGACGCACCGCTGCTGCTTACATACCCAAGGGTCCCTTTCCCGGACATGGGCGGGCTGGGGGGCTTCTGTGTGGGGGGGTTGGTGCGAGGGAGTCCGCCTCCTCCGGTTTTCATGTTCTGAGCACTGGCCTGTAGCAGGAGAAGAAAAAAAAAAGACTCAACTTCAGCACAGCCAGCAAACCCAATAATAAAAACATCAAAGTTGCATTTTTACATTTTCACAAATCTTCTTTACTTTTCTTAGAAATGTAAAAAACATCACACCAGCAGGTTGTCAGCTTAGCAGACAAATGACCTTTGACAACTTTTTCCACATGAGCTTGTAAAAATGAGTCAGAATGAGCACAGGAAGCAGCGCAACAGAAGTAAAAATGTCAATTTTTATTGTAATCGAGATAAAAATCGATTCCGTAAACACAAAATACAGCAAGCCTTGTAACTCAAATAATCTTCCTAATGTACATTTACATTTTAAATCTTTACAAGTAGGTCTTCAGAAATAATCCTTTGTCCCTTATTCCTTGTCATTTCTTTTGAAATAGACATTTTTGTTTTGCCCGCTGCCGTAGCGCCAGGAAATCCTTTCATATAATGTTCAGCCTCACTGTAAAACTTAGCGAGTCTCCTGCTCGAATTGTTTACGAAATTATCCTAGATTTTAAAAAAAGTCTTAAATTCGCTTATGTAGCTTGTTACCAGGAGATAAATCAACAAATTTCAATATACTACACAATCTTTTTTATAGCATTGGAGATGAAGAATTTGAAAACAATAACTAAATGTTAAATTTCTCATTTTGTCATTGCAGGTCTCATATTATTGACCAAGTGTCCCCCCCACTGAAGCCAGTGACATTTGTTTTACTGAAGCTGCCATTTTGTCTGTTTGAAACCAGAGTACACTCACAATAATGGGCTTTAGGTCCCGCCTACTCCCCTGCACAGTCATGGCATCACATAAGTTTTCTTATGAAGGTACTTATTGCAAAGTCATGCAGACCAATAACCAAAAAAAAAAATCATAAACACAAATTGTACAGTATTTTTCTCAAATCAATGGTTAATGTGTCCTTAAATTAAAAATCTGAAAGAAAGATGTGTGACAGATGTGGCCATAAAGGCCAGAATGTGCCTGTTGGATTGAACTATAATAAATCATATAATGAAAGTTAGTCATGGAGTTTCTCAAGGTTCAGTACTTGGACCAATATATGCTTCCATTAGGTAAAGTTATTAAACAGCATGGGATAAATGTTCATTGTTATGCTGATGATACACAGTTATATTTGTCTATGAACCAAATGAATCCAATCAGCTACTTAGACTACAAGCATGTCTTAAACACATAAAAACCTGGATGACCCTAAATTTTCTGCTTTTAAACTCAGCCAAGACTGAAGGTTTTATTTTTTGGACCTGAGCATCTTAGGAATAAAATTTTCAGTCTTTTGTCCTCTTTGGATTACATTAATCTGTCCTCCAGTTCTAATGTTAAAAATCTTGGTGTTATTTTTGATCAGGACATGTCTTTTATCCCCCACATTAAAAACATTATTAGAACTGCCTTCTTCCACCTGCGTAACATCGCTAAAATTAGCAACATCTTTTCTAAAAATTATGCAGAAACTGGTTCATGCATTTGTCATGTTAGAGTGGACTGTTGCAATGGTTTATTATCTGGATGTCCAAATACTTCTTTAAAACGTCTTCAGTTGATCCAAAATGCTGCTGCCAGAGTCTTAACTGGAGTTAGTGGGAGAGATCATATCTCTCCCGTTTTAGCTTCTCTCCACTGGCTCCCTGTCAAATCCAGAATTGAATTAAAAACCTTACTTCTAACCTATAAAGCTCTCAACAACCTAGCTCCATCTTATACTACAGATCTTATTGTTTCATATTTTCCTAACAGAGCACTTTGCTCTCAGACTGCAGGTTTGCTGGCGGTTCCTAGAGTTTCAAAAGATCTTTCAGTTATCAGGCTCCTCTCTTGTGGAACCAACTTCCAGTTTCTGTCCGTGAGGCTGACACATTGTCCAGTTTTAAGACTGGGATTAAGACTTTCCTTTTTTGATAAATCCTAAAGTTAGGGTTGGCTTGTTAAGCTCCTATAGGCTTAGACTACTAGATGACAAATTGACCTAATTTCCTTAAATGAATTGTTACAGTTGAATAGTTTTCATTTCGTATTATTTCTATCTTAACATGTGATTCTTGACCTGCCATTGTGTATCTGTTCCTCTCAAACCCAGCCGGTCGAAGCAGATGGCCGCTTGTCCCGAGCCTGGTTCTGCTAAAGGTTTCTTCCTCATGAGAGTTTTTCTTTTCCACTGTCGCCTTCATGCTCGCTCAAGATGAAAGTCTGTGATGGAGTTAAATTCAAAGCAGTCTGCTCCTCAGATAAATAATGTTAAATTATTATTTTTATATAAATGTATCTGTTCAGTGCCCTGAGATGACTTCTGTTGTGACTTGGCGCTGTATAAATAAACTGAACTAAATCAAATACAGCAGCAGAACATAAATGCATGGAACATGAAATATAATAGCCTGATTAATTGGAGTTGACGCATTTTACATTGTGCTCTAATACGGCCAAGTTGATAAATTTTTCATATGTTGGGCAGCCCTAATCTGCAACCTCATGCATTATTGAGACACGTTTATAGTAAGCTTGTTGACTACTTCCAGACCAAATTTCAGCTCAAAGTCTGTAAAATTTTCTGATTTATAGATAATTTAGCAAGTTCAATCAAAATGTGCCCAGTTCATGAAAAATGTTGCCAACAGACAGGAATACACACAGGGTAATAAATAAATTTACATAATTTGCCAAGTTGTTTTCTTCATGCACCTTACTTTATTCTGAGCAGGGATAAAAGCACATAAACTTAAAAACAAAAAACAATGCCCACTGTTATTGCAATTGGAAACAAACCACCACCCACCACGTTTTAACTCTTAAAAGTCTTACCTTAAACCTTTGCAACCACTACGGATGATAAAGATATATTTTGGCAAGCATTAAGGGAGAAAGAAGAAATCAAGAGGTTAGTTTGTGCGGGGAAAAAAGGACAGGAAAGCAGTTTTTCATGCTTGTGGTACAAAAAGAAAAGCTGTGGAGGTTCAGGCAACAATGGCTCATTGTTCAGATCCGAGGAATTTTATCCGGGACTTCTCAGTTCGCTTAGAAAAATAAACAAGTTTGTCTTTGGTCACAACATCAATATGAAAAAGAAGTTGTCTAAAAATCAAGCATTTTTAAATTGTTATTCTATAAAACAACAACAGCAGGAGGTGACGGAGGTTATATTTAGTTTCTGGTGAAAAGCCATCGATTTTGAGATTGCGTCGCCGGACTCTGAAATCCAAAAAAACCCGATAGTTTCCGGGCGTTTGACCTCAAAGTCTACTTCAATTTTAATTTACTTTTTATTTTTGTTTTGCAATAACGTATTCTCATTTACAGAGGCAACACTTCCTTCACACCATAGATACTTGTGACTGTTCATCACAAAGTATTTAGTTAGATTACCGTAATTTTCGCTGTATAAGTCACCGTTTTTTGCATAAATTAGCATGCCCGCGACTTATACAGCGAAGCAACGCATTTACTTTTCCCCCCATATTTATAACCCAATTTTTGGCTGAGATCTGACGATTTCATTCATTCCGACACAGAAAATATTGAACACAACCATTTTCAGCCACTAGAGGGCCCTTGAGCAATATGGCAAGCCAAGTGTCTCATTTATAGGTAAAAGTGGCTATTAATGAGACACTTGGAGCAAATGTCAAATCAGCTGTATTATGCCGCGCTGCCCAGGCGAAATGTAGCTGATTTGACCATTAAAGTGCATTTATTAAGGAAAAGTTCGACTGAGTTACGCCTTTGATATGATTTCGAGCAAACAAATTGTTTTTAAGTGTTAATCTGGTTTATTTCTTGTTAAAAGTCCTCCCGTGCACGCTCCCACGGCCACCATTTGGCAGCCAATCCGTTTTTGGCACACCGGCCCACATTTCCAGGTGGTCAGCGGTGATGCGTAATAGATGCTACTATATGGGGAAGATATGTATTTATGTTTTTTTTTCCCCAACTTATTAGACAAATTTGGACAGATGCGACTTATACGGCAATGCGACATTTACAGCGGCAAGTACGGTAAGTTTAGCATGACTGATAAACAGGTCAAAAAAACAGGAAGGAAAGGATGGGTTTGACCCTTCTAAAGGATATTCCGTATATAAATTCCTTATTACGAGGGCTGGGAGATATGGACCAAATTAATATCTCGATATTTTAAGATGAATGGCGATATACAATATATATATCAATATTATTTTTCTTTCCATAAAGTATTACCAAAAATATATTTCTGAATCAAAGCTTTGTCCCATGTGTCACACAGACAAATTTATTAAACAGCTGTAACTGTACAAAATAAATGTCTAAAAAATTAACTATTTACGTATATTAAATAATAACCCCCTTCAGCCGCGCTGCCTTCACGATGTTTGTAAACTCGTGAGCACAACATTAATAGTAGCCACTTATAATATCGCTAAAGCCACAGTCTCGGTCTCAAGTAAGGAACAAGACGGCTAACGTTCGTTCCACAGTTGAGACTGGGACCGTATCTTTAATGATATAAGTCAAGTGTTTACTTGTGCTAAACTCCCGCCCACCTGGAGAAGCAGGAAGTGGGGGGGGGGGGGGGTGCACGCAGGTGAGGGGCTGTTTTTTTTCCCCCAATGAGGGAGGAGGAGGGGCCGTGTGAAGTTGAGCACAGACGGGAGAAAAAGAACTACCGTTACACGGCTTTTCAAGTCCAATTATAACAACGTAGAAATATCGATATAGACGATGTAGCCCCATTTTATATTGTGTATGAAAGTACATCGATATATTTAAAATATCAAGATATTGCCCAGCCCTATTTATTACCCAAAACCATTTATTTGAAACACTTGCTTATGGAAGAATCTGATAATGTTTCTGATCATACGATAAGGACAAGAGTTTTAGCTAAACACTGGTCTAAGCACGTTCATGCTAGACATACAGTCAGCAGGGATTGTGCTATATTTCATATTTTTCTACTGAATTTCTAATGTATTTCTTGTATACTTTTACATATTTAATCAGGTTAATCTGATTTAAGAATGAAAAATAACAAACCCTGAAGTGTCTGTCTGCCGAGGTGCATCTGTGAGGCTTAATTTTTTTGTTTTTCTGTGCATTATTGAACTAAAACATGAGCAAAACAAATCAGAAAGTGAGGTGCCATCTGTTCATGGTTTGTTCTGGCTGCTGTACGTTTTACACAAACAGATGCAGTGCAGGAAACAGACCCTTCCCTATCTCCAGATTTATTTACTTTATTAATTAAAAATACTTTAAGTTGAATGTTAATTTAAAAATCCAAACTCCTATCAAACTTTGTAGATCGCCCTGAAAAAAAAAATCTTCCAGAGTGTCAATGTGATTCTGTGAAACTTTGCCTTCCCACAAATAAACAGTGTGTGACTAAATTTTGGACTGGACCTAAGATCTCCTACTTGTGTCGATGCCGATATTTGGAACATTGAGGAGCTCTGCTCTTGGATGTCAACAATTTGTTTTGTCAAGAAAACTTTTGTGACGTTCGGTTACCAAGATCATCGTGTTTTATGAGAACTGATGGACTGCAGGTCGTTTGTTGTACCGTAACTGCCGGTGTACAAGCCGCTACGTTTTTCTCACACTTTGTACCCTGTGGTTTATATGCCGGAGCGGCTAATTTGTGTAATTTTTTTTCATCGTTTTAATAATTTAGATTTTTATATTTTATTTTGACAGACTTCCTGCCGTCTCTTGGCAACTTCCTGCCACTGAATAACATTTTCCTTTGACAGAGCTG